TGTTATTCAGCAGCATCCTCAGAGCTTGTCCATGGACACGCTCCATTTCCCTGCTAATACATGAGCCTGGAAGGATCTCATCTTCTACCGACGCAGAGTCGGGTCTTACTTGACCCTGTCAGCAGGTGCATAAGCAAATCGCAAATTCTAGAGGATCCACTCAAAATGGGATCGAGCAAATAGCAGCTCCAGCAGATGCAGAAACTCATCTCATGCATCACAGCACTTTGGATGACTTTAAGAATATAAAAATAAGAGGTCACGAGCTAGAAACGATCCTCAGCCCGCCTGGCTGGCGTGATAAGATACAGCCGTGCGCTCCCAACCATGGAAGTGCAACGTTAAGTCTAATAGATTTCCAGAAGTCAAATTTATCAGCAATCCTTCGCGTTTGTTTGTTCARTAGATGGAAGGCATCGTTTCTGTGCATATAGGCATAATTAGTTTGATATCAGAGTGCATTAGTGCCTTGCTGCTTTGGAAAGAGAATGTTTTTCCTGGTGATATTTCGGGGGAATCTGGTAYGTCTGGTTATAGAAAAAGTAGCTCATTGTGTGTCTTGCACTTGAATAAGATCTGTTGGCTCCTGTTCATGCCATGAAAGAGCAAAGCTTTCAGCACCTATACATGAAAACCTCTCTATAGATACATTTACTCATTTYGTTTAGTGGAATTTTGCCCCGTTCATTGTTTGGGCAGATGCTAATTTTCCTCTTTGTTCACTGCGATCTCCTGGTTGCTCCCTGCTACTTTACCTGGAACAGCGGGTACATTCATAGAAACAAGCCTGGGGAACCTACATGGACTCCGGCTATAAGCAGCTTTAAATACAAAAGAAAAGAGAAAAGTCAGTTCAGCTGCTGTTGGCTGAGCCTTCATTGCATGTACAGCTCCTACCTGCACAGTCTTTTAGGATGTACCCCAATAAGAAAAACATCCCCCTGATCATGTGTGCATGAAGCTGCCTTTTCTGGCCCTATCACTGCCAAGACCGCAGGTCAGGCAGGGTTTTGGGTTTGCTCTCCCACCCGCTTCTTCCCCAACAACAGCAAGTGCAGACTCACAGCTGGTAAAATAGTTATAGCTTCTACCGAAATAGATGCTTCTAAAAAACAGCCTTTCTTCCTGAAGGAGGAAGCAGTCAGAACTTAATTCTTTCTCTAGCAAGTGACTCATGGAGAAATGTTATCTCTAGGTAAAACAAGGCAGAGATGCCCTATTTCAGAGCTCCTCCCTTTACATCATCAAATAACAAACTTCATTTTGCATTCTTTGACAGTAATTGGCTAATAACTGTAATTTTCATCTTACTGAGATAGGCTAGAAACCACTATTCAGAAAAACCCTCCAACACAACAATTGATCAATTCTTCATTACAATCGATGCATTTAGTTTACCACAGTCATTTCATTTGCAATTTGAGTTAARGAAAAAACCCATCAAACAAACAACAAAAATCTGCTCAGGCAATTCCAGATTGGACCGCCCCGACACAAATTAGTAGACAAAGAAACAGCAGGCGATCAATTTATCGCTCGCTACTTTATTCTTTAGCAATTTGTCGTCATTGTTGAGCTGCTTTTGAAACTTGCCAAACTTGATTATGTGAAACCTGGGGAAAGACAAACTTTGATCATTTTTGCATCATATTTTGGGAGCTGTCTGAAGAGCTTGTACAGGTAGGGCTGCTTGGCAGCTGCCAGTATCCCATCTATCACACATAGCTAAAATTTAGCATGGTAGCCCTAGGAGGGCCACTTTTGTTGTTTTCTCACATTGAGCTGGTTCAGAGAAGGCTTAGTTCCCACTAAACCACATGCCCAGCAGTACAAAAGCAGTAGCTCTAGGTTTCTAGAAACCTGCTTTTGTACCCCCAAATTAGCCATGGTTGCTGGTGACTATTGGGAATACTGAGTAGCCCAGGGAAGATCCCTATCCCTCTGAACCTTGCCTTACAAAACCCCTACAGAGCAGAAAGCTGGGCCCATTGCCCTACCATTGGGCAAGGCAGGATGCTAGAGGTGTCTTTCTGCCCCAGCTATAATTCATTTGCTATAGCAAGCAGAAAAATCTATCCTGAGGGAGAAAATATCTGGTGAAGCAGCCTGCACACCTACATCTCTGCTGTGTGTGCTGCTGGGTTGTAGTGCCCTTGCAAACCAGGTGCACCTGTGAAAGGCTGTGCAGGTTTCACCTGCAGCCACTTTCTCCACATTAGATAAAAGGACTTTTCTGGGGGACTTGCTTTCTAGATTTGTTTCTTTTAACTCAGTCTTTAAAAATCTTTCTGCAGCCTAGTTTTCATGAGCAGAGCAGGCAGTGCAGCCTTTCTTGCCTTCTGCTGGGAGTCTAATGCAGGTAARCTAATGGTTCTGCTTGATGGACGTGAGCATCCTGTCTGGACCTGCCAAAGGTGAATCCTGTTAGGAGTACAGGTCCAAAACACAGGTATTCTTCCCTTTACTATTACATTTACCCCTTCACCACAAATTAAACTTAGGGCAGCAACTGTGTGAAAGAAAAGCAAATGTCCATAATAACTGGGAAGACCTTGGTGAGCTGTTTTCAGTCTCTCATTTAGTTATCCATCATYCTGCTGTAAAATTGAAGGCTAAGGACAGGTATCCTTTCATTCTTTCTGTTATTTGTTGAAATAAGAATCCAGTGTGGAAAAAAAAGTACTAAATTTTGGGTTATTTTGTTGTGGAATGTGTAGGTTCAGCAGGATGGGTCAGTATTAATGACAACTAAATGGCTTAGTTCCTGCAAACTGGGATGCAGTTTTGCTCTTAGGGATCCAGCTAACACACTTACACCTCTGAAATAGCTCTGTTTTAATTGACCAGCAGACAACCATGTTTTAGGTTTATTTGCAATTTCTGGGTTTTTGAGGCTTTTCCAGCCACAGACAGACACAGTGCAGGACTGAATTGGCCAAACATGTGAAGATGTGAGGTATAAAAGGTTTAACAGATGCTAATGTTCAGCATTTATTTATTTTTTTTTTTTCTGTTGCAGTACTATGAGTAAGGAAAGCACCCAAAGAAAGGAGGAAAGCAAAATATTGCATGTACGAGGGACAGGAAGAAATAGTTGTAATACTGTATTTTGGTCAGGTCTTAAAAAAGTTAACTGTTGAACAGATATTTGAGGGAATATGGAAGGTTAATGAAAAGATGACCTCACTGGTCTAGTGAGGAAAAGTTACTTAATCTAAAATAAAACCTTTTCRTTTTTCCACAGAAATAAAATTTCTGAAACAAAAAAGCAAGACTGAGGGCAGTTTAAAATCAAACTAAACATCTGTTCAACCCACAATTAAATATTTTTGGAAATTGAAAGCATTAGTTTAATTTTYAAAATGATTGCAAGGAAATATTTCAGTTCTTTAGAAAATGTGCCTTTTTTTTCTAGTCTAAATAGGTAGATATGTTCAAAATAAGGCCWCTATAGATCCTGCTGACCTGAAGAAAAGTGTCACCAATGCTATTTTAGGCATCTCTGTTCACAGGAAGCTTGCTCCTAAGGGAGCTCATATCATTTGAGTTTACTTCACAGAGCATGATCCCTGGGACTAAATACCTTTTGTTTTTCCTATCTGAACTGCTTTCGTGTACATGAACTGCTGCATTTGATGAACCCTTTCTTGTTGCTCTTTCATATTCCTTCCCTGACTGCAGAACGGCCAGAGCTGAGATGCAGCTAGCTCACAAAATCCTCATTACRTTTCAAGCTGGATGTTACCAAACTCCTTTTCTTCTAGCCCCAGCAAAACAATGCCTGCATATAGCACCACATAAATATAGAGCAGGATAATGTGTGTTTTGGCGTGACACTTGCCCAATCCTTGTTAGCTGGTGCAAAGAGTTCAGAGATGTGTTTGGCATCAGCAGTGCTGAAAAGAGGGTCAGCCTGCTGCTTTMCACAATAGTCCTCCTTATCTCTAAGCTATTGCTGCAGGGTCTGCATGGAGACGTGAGGCAGGGAAAGCATTTCCATCCCTTGGTGGTCCTTCTGTAAAGGAGATGGATTCTCCTGTCATCTACCCCAGGCAAGGATGGTTAATTCTGATTTATCTCCCACACTGTAGGGATTGACTGCATGTCCCCAGCTTTACCTCCCAAAGAGTGGATCTGCATGTGTCTGTTTTGCATACTTCAGCAGCAAAGCACAGACTTCATCTTTGTCTATCCTGATAGCTACCTACCCTTTTATATCCTTTCAGGCTGTAGTCTAGAAGTAGTTCTTAGCTATTACACAAATCTTGTTCATGTTGCCAGTAAGCCCAAAGTTTCCATTAGGTACTAGAAAGCCATAATGTGGATAATACTGTACAGATTTCTCTCAAAATGTCCATCTGAACCAGTTAATTTCCTTATTTCTCTCAAGCTGGTTTCTTAATGCTTGTTACTTATTCATTATGACTCCTTGACTACAAAGAGCACATCAAAGCCGAACATTTCTCTTTAATCAGGGCCCCACAACATTATCACTCTGATCATAAGACTTCAGCTTTCATATTTTCATCTCAGTCCTATTCTTGGAATGAGTCCCATCATTTAAAATCATTGTCAAAAAAAAAAAAAAGACCTTTTTTCAAGGTGAAACTTTTCTTAAGATTGACCATGGACTTTATAGGTGCATGCTAATAATGACATAGATCCTTTTCTTTATGTAGACTGAATTTTTTTGCAATAATTATGAAGTCTGTATAGTCTAAAATACTTTTAAAGATTACTTAAAGCACCAAATTATTTTGGGTCTGATTTCATGAACAGTGGGAGTCTGTCCCTTTGCAAAGGTCTCTGAAAGTAGTTATCAAGCTCTCCCTTTTCCCAAGAGAATAGGATGTAAAGTTCTGATATGTGATCCCATATGTGTATGGGGAGGCTTAAGATAGAAGAAAAGTTTTCAACCTTCTTTTAAGATAACTAAGATGCATATCCTATTGAAAATGAGGTGTTCTTTTTTGTGAATTTTTTTTTTAATCTTTTCTTTTCAGACCAAGTAGGAATAAGACCTGCTGAGAAGCAACATTAAGGTAAGAAAATAAAGTCACCAGTCTCTTCTTCTGGTCTAGGTAAAATGAACATGGCAGTTGGGTCAGGCTATCGAGAACCTTAGGCAAAGTTGTACACTGATACAGAAGCAGCCYTGGTAAAAAGAGGGAGAGAAAAATACACTGGGGAAAATGTACTGCCTGTGCCCGTTGTCCCTGGAGTRTAGCCTTGGCCAGCAGCAATAAACTATGAGACACTTTGCCAATGAAATAGAAGGTCAAAGAAAATAGGGCAGACCAGGGAAGGTCGCRTAATCCGTCAGTGTTCAACAGCAAACACTGCAGCCTGCACAGAATCCCATTTTCTGCAAGTAGGGTGAGATTTGTGGACTTCAGAGGTGTCACTACTGCTTTCGCTGTGCTCTTAAAGTGTGTTGGTTTGCTACTAAAGTTGTCTTTCTAAACAGCTCACAAAAATTGCATGTAAACCCTGCAAGTCCTTTTGCCCACAGCTGCACATGCTGCCCCAAAGGAGTGTGTGCGGGGTCCCTTTGAGGACAGGRCTGCAAACAGGGCCCTATTGTTCATGAACAAAGCAGAGCTTGTTCGTGCCCTTATCTGTTTGGGGCTGGGCAGGTAGGTTGCTGCATTTATGTCCTATCTGTTAACAACTTGCCTCTGAATATTTGGAGTCAGTATAAAGTGAATAGAATGAGATACCATATGTTAATTCCAGTTCCATCTTGGCTGATAAAAGTGAATAGTATAAGCTCTTTGTGACATTATTGCATATGAATTTGGTAAGGCAATTGCATGGACAGTCTAGCTAAGCAGTAGCATTACCCATTAAGATTTTATCAAAGTAATGCAAATGTTATTAAGGAGGGAAAAATAAATAGAAGGTTGGGTAGCAAGATCAAATCATCTTGAAATCCAGTCTCTGATTCTGCAAAGATTTTTGGATGTTAACCTTTTTAATAAGGCTAAGAGGTATTTGGTGTATGGCTGGTGCATCAGAATTTCTGTTACTCCCTTGCTTAAGTAGATGTGTATGTTCTATCTCTACATGTAATTTTCAGGAAAATATAACTGGCAAATGAAAGGATGGGGTTCCTTGATGCTATTCTCCTAATGCCTGATACTATCAAATAACCTCCAAATTTCCTGACAGAAAGAGCCTGAAATTGTGAAGAGCAAGATTGACTGAAATAAATTACAGTGTTTTAAAATGTTAGCTAATATTGATGTTTCTGAGGAAAAAAATACTCCAAGAACGCTGCCCCAAAGAGTTGATTGATACGGCTGCCAGCGGAGCCCGTGTGRCACTGGATAAGTCACTTGAGCCGTGTCAGAGGTGATCATTACTTTTATATTCCTCGTTTTCTGGGTGCCTGACTGATGACCCTGATATGCAGAAATATGAGACACTTGAAGCTTCACTGTTACTGAAATCCTGAGGTTTGAGCTGGCTGCAAGCTTTCTGATGAAAAATTTTTCTCTTGGAAAATGTTGACTTGCCACAGCTGAGATCTTCACAGAGCTGTATTTTTCCACTGAAGTAATAGTTGTGATTTTTTTTTTTTCCTTCTTTTTATAAAAGATGGAATTTCTGGAGGGGAAAGAAAGAAAAAGGGAAGGAGCACTTCTCTTTGGAATAATCAAAGCACATGAAAGGCTACAAAAATGAGAGACTCAGCATCTGCTCTGAGTAAATTTGAGCAAAATTTCCCAAATTAATGCTGTTATCTCCTGAGCTGATGCCTGTCATGGCAGTGCTGGGGGAAGGAGGAGAGAATCGTTCTCCACTTCTCTCTTCCTAAATGCTTTTGCAGAACACTTCAAAAGGCTTTGGCTCATTCCCATGTGAAAGAGAAGAAATGTCTCTGTGGCAGGGAAGAACAGGGTGTCCTGGAGAAGCTCCTCTGGGCTCAGATGAGATGTCCCAATGCACAGGAATACTTTAGCCTCCTTCCCTCCCATCTCTTAAATTGTTAATGTGTTCGCTTGTAAATGGTGGTGGTGTTGGGCAGTACCACACCCAGAGCATTTTTTATTCACTCGACCACTAACACTTTCAAAGGAGGAGAGGTATTGGTTCAGTGCAATTTGTTCTCAGTAAATTCATGCTTGTTTTTCCCATCACCTCATTTTYCTGTTTTCCAAGGCACGTTTTTGTATTCCTATCCCATCCACAGAAGGGGTTTGGCTATCCCTTTCTTGACATCAAATGAAGGGGATTGCAGCATACTCCGGACTGCTTGCCCTGCTGCTTAACTCTCTTTATAGATGGGAAGTGTCTAGTCTGTGTCTCCACTACAAATTTGGCTGATCTTTCTTCCTCTGCCATCAGTGGATACAGAGAATAATTGACTGCTGTTTTCCTSCCATCAATCTTTCACATATTGGAGAACTAAATGCATTCCCTTTCAGTCCTCTTTACTCTATGCTAAACAAGCTTGTTTCTTTTAACTTCTCCTCATATGTTACTTTTCTAGACTTTTTAAAATACTGTCTCCAATTTGTCCATCTTTATTTTAGGCCAGTGATCAAAACTAGACATAGTACTCCAGCTGTGGCCTCTCAAGTCCAAGCATGCAGGTGTAATGAGTTGTTATGCTTTTATTCACGCTATCAYCCTCAAGAACAAATTTGATTCTCATTAATTTTTTTTAATAACTTGGCAAGCAYTGCCAGTAGTTTGGCAGATTTTTAAGACCCCAGGTAGTCTTTCTGACACTTCTTGGAGTTAAGCACTATGTTTGTGCTTCTGTGTTTGTCTTTCTTGGGATCTCAGAGGTTTTCCATGAATTCTTGAAGATGATTTTTAATGATGCAAATAATGGTTTGCTAATCCCCTATGACTCATGGTGGATTCATCAGTTACTGCCAACCTGGATATATTCCTCTAACTGTCTATTTTCTTCTCCCTTGTGTTCCTCTTGCCTTCTTGAAATGAACTGCACTCTGTATCTGATTGTAATTAACTTCCTCTGTGAAATCTGAAGCAACAAAAACTTCAAATGTGCCTGTGTTCCCAGTGTCACTTCTCCTGCTCTCCTTYCCTGCTAATGGACCTGCATTGCCTTCCTTTGCCTTGATAACATCAATAGCATTTACCCTTCACCTCTCTAAGGCAGTGAAAGTAAATTAATGAAGGTGCATGAAGCACGCAATTACTATAATAAAGGATACCAGGAAAAAGCCTTTTGGGGCATGAACAGTGTTCTGTGGCATATGTGTGTGAAAGCCAGGTGCTCACAAGTAAGACAAAGTACTGACCAACCGTTCCATAACCAAGTGCAGCCTTTCATATGCACTGAAGACAATAAGGGTCCTATAGCCAACAGGTGCATGATCATGCAAGGACACCTGCATTATAACTCATGTGCACAAGGCAGCAAGTGCTGCCCGGCCTCCAAAAAAGTTAGATCTTCTCATCTTGCCTGTGCTTGTAGTCAGCATCCTGATACTTTGCCACTTGTTTTGTTAATTATCCATAGACACAGTAATGTGTTCATAGCTGTTAAACAAGTTGGTAAGATTCTCTAACCTCCTCCTGAGGGTGCAATGGCTGCACAGGTCATACCAGGCCATCTCACTGACTTGCAGAAAAGTTTGGGGGTGGTAGCTCTCTTGCATGGCTCATTGAGGGTGCACAGGGATATAAAATTATGAGCAGAGATTATTTTCAAGATGACTCAAGTGGAAATGGTACCATGAAGATGACTGGCACAACACAATTTTTGCAAGCTTTACATTTTCCCAACTACTTTGCCTAAGATTACTGGGGACCAAAGGCTAGTTTGACATGATGTGACCCACAGCAACCTCTGCTCCAAGCTGCAGAAGWTTGTAATGAGTTTTTATGGATTGTTTTGTCCTTGGAGAGTGTTACAGAGATGATACACTGGCTGCCCTATGACTTGTACAACTGGTTGTTTCACGCCTTGTGTCTAGCCTCCTTTTACCCAGAGGGAACAATTTAAAGTAGGCTGAATTGTCTTCGTACCAGCCAAGTTTCTCTAAAACAATGATGTATTTGCTTGGTGGCTTGCAGCAAAATTAAGATATCCTTTTTTTCTGCTCAAAAAGTGAAAATAATCACCAGAGTGGGTCCAGAACTGACCCTGGCTTTCTCCCAGATATTTTTTTCTTCCTCTAGTTGTCCAGTCTGGCAGATGAGGACTTTACTCACCTGCTGTCATCTGACCTCTCTGTCCAAGAATGTAAAATTAATTAAACAAGCCTCTCTCCAGCTGTGTTCACTTAACAGCATGGCCATTCTAGCACTAGTTAGCCCAGCATTTACACCAATATTAACAGGAAACGTCTAAATAAGCGTTATAAAAATTTTTGCACTCCGTCTGCTACAAGAATGGGCTCGTTGCACATCCTGCTCTTGTCCTATACGTGTAGCCTTTTGTCTCCTGTGTCCTTTCARCTTAATTTTAGCTTGCCCTCTACTTTCACCTCCATTACTGTGTTATACATGGGCAGTTGACTATGTGACTTAATCATAGCGGCCTTGTCCTGCTGTTTTACTTCAATCATTCCCAGCCTCTCTCCACTGGGCCGACAAAGATATTTTCTCGTGCACTGCAGAAAACATGATCTAAAACAATATGATAATGTTAGAGTTCTGCATGCATAATTTCAGCAGYGTTCCGTGTAACTAGTCACCTGGCTTTTCTTTTTTTAATGAAATCATCCTTGTTATCAGGCTGTTTTCATTCAGCTCTCACAAAAGGATTCCTCACAGCATGAGTCATAGCAGACATTTCGGTATCTGTCAGGAAAGCAGCAGTGATAATAAAAGGGATCCATCCAGACAAATCCTTGGAAATAAAACATTTAAGAGCAGTGATGCTGCTGTTACTTTTCCATCACTTTGCAGAGCATTAACTAAACAGAACACTCCCCAAACAGCATCGTGTTCGTTAATAATTTTGTASGGTTTTCTACAATGCTTGGTTACATCCCTTATATAGCTCAAAGATTTTTCTTTATYTTTCCCTTTTAAGTCTTTTACTTTAGGAACTAAC